ATTTGACACATCATAAAAAAAGAAAGAAAATTAGGAGTCAAATATAAATTAAATTCAAATGGAACTTGGACCCATAATTTTAACTAATAAAAATATGACAAATTTTGGTTTTATGTAGGAACTACATACAATAATTGTATATATAGTCTTTACGGATATAATCACATGTATATTAAGTGAGTCGAGTAGGAACAAAGGGTGTATATTAGAACAGTTAATTATAAGTCGAGTTAGGTCAGGCGGCCAACAATTATGTTTAGACTGTTCTAGATGAAGGTGTGATGAGAGTAAGTGTATGCATGCATGAGATGGAGGATCGATGGACCGACCTCACATGTTTATATTATCATGTCGCTCCTTATCTTATTCAATTCATTGTTCTCCTACTCATATAATCAAAGAAAACACGCTTGTAATTATTAAGTAAACCCACCATTTCTCTCCACAACTCTGCCGCAACATTAAAGTCATTGGGGACAACTAATTAAACCATTAAAATTCGTGAATTAGAGTAATTTTTCCATTATATTATATAAGATGTCTCAATTCGGGTGTTTAGATTGGGTTTATTAGTGAGATCTAATCGAATCTATAAATTCACATACGGGGAGCCCCCTTGGAGGGGGGAGGGGGGGGGATGAGGATCGATCAAACCTCTGTCACTAACATTAACGAATTCTCCTTTACTATATGTCAACATGTTATTACACATATTTCATTAGCATCTGAATGTTAGGTTAGTCTTCATAATAGTTGTTATGTAATGATGGGAAATTAGTTCCATATTGATAGAATGGAAGTTAGTTATATAGTTTAGTCTATATATAGTTTGATGTTAGGATGGAAGTCTCACATTGGTAGGGTAAAAGAAGTAATTTAAGCTTATTCAATTCTATTTAACTTAGCTTAATGTTAGGAAGAAAATCTCATTTATTAGTAATTAATATATATATATATATATATATATATATATATATATAGAGAGAGAGAGAGAGAGAGAGAGAGAGAGAGAGAGAGAGAGGTTTAGCTTGGAATAAGTGTATGAGTTTAATGTTTGGAGCATAACAAATTTTAACGTTAGTCAAGGACTTTGACCTCATGCCCGATTAGGCTAAGTTAGCTTGGTTAGGCGCAAACATATATTTAGAAAATGAATGTTTGCTCGCCTGATAGGGCTAAGTTAGCCCGGTCAGTGCAAATGTAAACTTTGTTTCTAAAGTGTCGATGGTCTGATTATAGGGCGGGCTTAGATCGATAGGGCGCAAAATCAAGTTGAAAAATGTATGTTGTTTATTTATTTGACCAATCGGGCGGGCTTAGCCTAATCGGGCAAGTGTCAACGATTAATTCCTATGTATACTTAATTATATGATAATTGTGAGATTCGTCAATATTCATTAAAAGTAAGATTATCTTAATTAATTATATTTTTGAATTAGTGACTCTTGGCTTTAAAAAGTTAGTACAATATTTATGGGCTCTAATTATAACTTATTTTCTTCTTCCTTGTCTATTCTAATTGTTATTAAAGAGTTCTTAGGGAGTTTCAATTACATTGTTATAACTGAACTCGATGTTTAGAGAAATCCTTGAAGCATAATCGAAAATCCATAGCAATCATAGTGAGGGTTAAAATTGCTTTAAGGACAATGTAAACATATCCCTAATCGGGATGACAATTGGGTGGTGCGGGTGCCCCCACCCGCACTGGGTAAAATTTCAACATCCATACCTGTCTAAACGGTTGGAAACCTAGATCCACACCCAATCCACCACCCATGTGGATATCCACTATCCGCTTTTTACCCGCTAGCCTAACAACATTTGTTTAATAAATTTCCTATAAAACATGTCATTTTGCCATCTCTAAATTATTGCAAATACATATGAAGTAATTTAATTATACATTATACTAGGTAGTAGTTAATTTGTGATAAAACAAAAGGTAGTAATAAATTAACGGGTAATTGCGTGTAGGTGGGTATAGTAATTGGGCGGGTATGTGGGTAATTAGGCGAGTATGACATCAAATCCACCACCTACCCGCTACCCACGGTGAGTATGACTTTTGTACCCGGCCATACCCGCCTACTTACTAGCCAAAGTTGAACCCATATATATTCGTTCCGATTGGGGCAGATCGATGTGGTGCGGGACCCGCATTTATAAGGAAAAAAAAAACATTCATTACGTTAATAGTATAAGCATCCATAAGCTTCTCTCCTTCTCTAAAATCAAGCCTCCATTTTTTATTTTACCGGTGGAAAGCCTAAATATTTGTTTCTTGTTTTTATTTTCTATTTGATTTTATTAGGTTTATAATAAAACTTCCTCATTGCTTGTTTTAATTGGTGAAGAATGATATGATATGGATTGCAAAATTTATCAATTTTTTGATACTGTCAAATGATCAATTAGCTAGATAATAATAATTATCCTCAATACAACAAATAGTTAGATTGTCTCTTCAAAAAGGTTGTAGATTCTAGTGATGTAAGCGGAAGATGTTCGACGATGCAAAATCCACTCTATGATCGTTGTTTATACAAAAGAATTCTTTATTTGATTCAATATGTATTTGTCAATTAAATTTGAAAATCTTTTTTTTTGAAGGAAAACCATGGAAATAGCATAAATTAAACAAGTCAAACGACACTTACAGAAATCAAGTAAAGACTACAAAGAACAAATCTCACATCAGAAACATATTTTTCTCCTAATCTACTAACTTCTCCCATAAGAACAGACTATAAACCATTGATAACGTTCTTGCGTCTTCCGAAAATATAGCAATCTCACAAATTTGTGCAGCATCAAAGGAGAAAGAACAGTTCCGTCACCGAAGATTTGCTATCTTCGCCCCTGAAATAGAAAAAGAAAACAGAAAAACCCCATAGAAGGGGTATTAGAGTCGGTTTGGTTATATTTGTTAATATTGTATTTATGTTAAGTTTATTTATACCATGTTAAATTTCGAAACAATATGAAATGGGCCTGGGTAACCCGAACAAGGAGGAAGAGAATTTGGTATACAAACAAGGCTTAGGAGCTTCCATACTAAAACCAATTGACATTAGTAGGAGGTACTCTGATCTTCTACCTTATAAAGTGGAACATTTTCTCCTCTTTCTCCAATGTAGGACACTCACAAGTGGGCTATAATGGGTTTCAACACTTCCCATCACTTGTGATTGTCCTTAGAAATTAGAGCACACCAGAAGGTACAATATCCTCTTTGGGAATGAACATCCAATAGAGGTCCGTTAACCAGTGACTTGACAAATAACCAGTTATGAACGACCCAACAAACCTTGACTCTGATACCATGTTAAACTCAAGAGCGATTGGAGAAAATGGCATATTAAAGTATCGCATATTAAAGTACTTAGCCTTTGCATTGATATTAATCACAAATATATACTCAATACAATAAGAAACCTAACTTGGCTAAAAACTCCTAACAAGATAAATTTAAAATAAATACAATATTAACAAATATAACCAAACTGACTCTAATAAGGAGATAAACAACTCTCATAAAGATAGACTCACAAACTCTCATAAAGAGAGACTCTCTTATTGACCAATAAATTATGAAAAAACTACATAAATTATTGACTAAAGAGGGGATTTGGGGCTTACCATGAATTTTCCCATCCATGGCAGTCCCTAATAGATCTGATTTTTGGGGGTTTTTTTTGGATTTTCGTAGGGGTTGTCGATAGAGAGAGAAAAGCAGTTTTTTAAATTCGAAAATCTTTTATAAGGATTGTATAATTATTTATTAATTAATGGATTGATTTTACTACCTTGTATATATATATATAAAAAAAACATCAATAAATGGCAAATTAGGTACATTCTTATTACTACCTCCGTTACAGGTTATGTGCAACGATTAGACATTTTCCCTCTCTACTTTATGTCAAATCGTTGCACATAACTTGTAACGGAGGTAATATTTTTTTTATTTTTTATTTTTATTTTTTTGTCAAATTAGGTACATTATGAATTGACTTAGGAGAGTAATTTCAAAAATGATATCTATATACTGATGATGACGATTAATATTATATTTATCAATATATTTATGATACGACTAATATAATACGGAGTATAAAATTCTTGGAAAGCAGAATTCATGTGATTATTCATGCAGGCCGGATAGCTCATCTAAATAGAAATTTAATGATATGATATATTGATATGGACCGGAAAATATTTAAATAAATAAATTTAACTACAAATAAAAGTAACAGCAATGATTATGGGTCTTATACGTAAACTTGAGGGTTAAGTTGAGATTAGAGCTGAATTTACTCCTCCTATTGCCTTATAGTTTTGGGATATATCTTTCTTTAACCTTATAAAGTGGACTTTCTCTTAATTCGCGGGTGTGAGTGTGTGACCCAGTCTCGTATTTAACACATGTTGTACCTCATGTAGTCATGTATGTATCAATGTTTTATCCTAATAAAATAGTTATAAATTTTCGTCTATTTTATTGACAAAAAGTTTTCAAGGAGAAACAAGTTTTAAAACATTTAATTACGTTTTATCATCATGATTAGATTTTATTTAAAAACGATTATTTATTTTACATCAAAATTTCCTTCTATATGATGTGATACAACCTCGATAATTTCATGAACAATTATCATTGCTATGATTTAATATAGCTTACAATGATTATATTGCAATTAATTATAGCCAACCACGTGGTTGTAACACTAATAAATTTTGTTGATTAGATTTTTTTGTTTTATACTTTTTTATGTGTAAAAAAAATAAAAATTGTTGATTAGATCAATGTACACGTTTTGTTCCTTCCATTTATTTGGACCCCAAAATTAGAAAATTTGGGCCTTACCATAATAATTAGGACCATCTCAGTAACTTTGGTGGTAGATAATTTGGTAGTTGTTAATTTTATCACCTTCCCTTCCTCCTTCTATATAAGACATTGTGAACTCTTAATCATTTTAATTTATTCCAAGTGTTTTTGTATAATAATAGATACATAAAACTAAGAAATAAGAGTAATTATGGGTCTCAAACGTAAGCTTGAGGGAGAAGTAGAGATAAGAGAGAGTGCTGCAGATGTTCTCCATGACTTGTACAAGAATAGGCCTCACCATATTGCACATTCCGGCGGGTCTAATTTCATACAAAATTGTGACTTGCACAACGGTGTTGTTGCTAAGCCCGGCGCTATATTTTCTTGGACTTACACTCTAGGTAATTAAATACGTATTCTCAACTCTAAATATTATAAATTAAATTAAATTTCTTGTGTCTGTTTTATTTTCCTTGGTTATACTTAGCTTGTTACCTTTTTGTTTGAACAATTATGATATATAGTCCAGTATGCCCTATCACTACATTAATATTATTTTTCCATGTGTATATAAATATATATTTTGATTAATTAAGATGGGAAGCAAAGAACCGGCAAGACTGAAATTGAAGAAATCGATGAAGAGAAGAAGTTAGTAAGGTACGAGCTGATAGAAGGTGATCTCTTTGATGAATACAAGAGCATGAGCTTTATATGTCATGTTACACCCAAAGACCAAGGAAGTTGTACATTGAAGTGGATAATCGAGTATGAGAAGGTGCATCCTGGTATCCCCGAACCATCTTCTATGCTAGACGCGCTCCTTAGCGCAGCCAAAGACATGGATGATCATCACCATCCTAACAAGTAAACAATAATAATAATGCACTAGAGAACTGTTGCATTCGACCATTATATGCAACGTCTCCTTCGAAATGTTGCATTATTATTAATTCAAAGGGAAACAACTTCATTCAAATATGCGGTATATGGTCGCATGTTGTTTAAATGCATTAAATAAATAATACTAAATGTTTCGGGTGAAATCAATGGGACCTTGCCGAAGGTCCGATGAAGTGGTGAAGACTAGATTCGATCCAAGAAGTGTTGGGCCGAAGGTTTCCTGCACAGTAAACACACGTAAACTAGCCTCGGGGGTGTTGCCGAGGAAGGCCCCTCCGATGCTAAAGTCAGTACAGTGCGTAGAAAAAGAACACTATGCAAGAGAATTAATTGCTTGAGGCTTTGCTTGAATCAATGTACAAATGTAATATTGATGGCTTTTATACCTCTTCATGCATGGAGAAGTTGGGCCTTAGCCCAATTGGCTTGCCTTGAGGACTGATCTTTGACTTTAGCACAATTGGAGAGATGAACCTTGACCTTGGGCTTTTAATTGGATCATTTAATGTCTAAGCCCAATTGGACTAAATTGGACCCAAACAACTTGCCCCCCAGACCCGATTTGGAAGGATGACGGGTCGGGTTTGATTTAATCAGAAAAGGAGGGAAGTGAATGATTTAATTAATCCAAAAATTTGAATTTAAACCGTAATTAATGAGATAACCACAGTTAAGGCGGATAATTGCGGAAGTTGGACGGATAATGGGCAGTTTAATCGCAAGGTCGTGTGTTTAACGGTTACTTAGTGGGGTATTTAAGAGAAATTGAAACGCGGACTCCCCGTATTCCCACTTCTGGAGATATAATCAGAGGCGCGTCATCTCTCCTCACTTATTCACCAACACAAACCCAGAATTCTCGAGAGAACCCAAGAACCCGCATCAAAACTTCGCAAATTCCCCGAGCATTAAGCTTAGAAACTGAGACTTGCCACTACCAATTCGTAAATCGGCAACTTTCGCTTCAGATTAAGGTAAATTCCTTTGATTTTAGTTTATTTTTCTTCGAATTCGAACTCCTTCCCTTTTTGTTTCGACTTTTTTCTTCGAAATTATCAATGGCGAGAGGAGTTAGGGGTAGAGCCCGTGCTCCAAGAAGAGCAAGGCCAATTCCCGATCCTAGGAACAGGATTGGGACCTGGAATGGACAAAGAGCAGAGTCTGACCCTGCTGAAGGGATTAGGGCGACTCCAATTTCCTCGGCTCCTCCTCAGAGAACGGAGGGGCCGAGCGCTTCTGGGCGGGACGATGAAGTTCCCGCTGTCCTTTGGGATATCCTCCCCGGGTTTTCAGAGTGGGAGGATGCCGAAGTAGCTTCGGCCATGATAAAGAACCGCCCCTACTCATGGTGGGTGGAGAATTCCGAACAGTATCGGTTTGCCGAACAAATTGAGTTGCATTACGGCATCCTTGAAGCTGATGGGTATTGGTGTCGAATGCCCGTGGCATCCGATAGAATCCATCGTCCACCCCCGGGGTATGTGGGGGTGTACACAAGACAACTTCAGTATGGGCTGAGGTTCCCTTTGGACGTATTCGTCCGAGACTTGCTGATCAGTATAATCCTCGGGCTGAAGCATAGGAACTCGGGCAGTCGTCTTCAGAATCTTGCGGTTCATCATGCGCTCAACTTTAGACTTGCCGCTTTCTGAATTTTTTGCCTTGTTTGTTTTTTGCTTCAGCTTGCCTTGTCGTACAAAACAGTTTATTTTTTTGCTTCTGTACGTATTTCGGCAGCTGTTATTTTTAGCTTGTGGGCGGCTGCCGATACAGTTTATTTGAACTTGTAGCTCAATTTCTGAGCATAAATTATTAATTTGATGTTCTTTTCTTCAGCTGCTTTGTTTTTGAGTGCTTTACTGTTTCTTCAATTCTGCTGAACATAAACTTGCACTAGTAGTGCTTCTTGCCCCCCCAGAAATTGAAGTATGGCTTCAGCTGAATAAACAATTTCTTTATTTCTTAAAAATGGGTATTCGAAACACAGGGCCAACTGAAGGCAATGCTTCGGATAATGGCTTTCTGGGATAGGCAATATCCCAGAATTGTCCATGGACTCACGCCTTTGGAGAACAAATCTTACTGAAGCTTGACTTCAGCTGAAAGACTAGAGTTCTTTAAAAAATGGATATCCGAAACACAGGGCCAACTGAAGGCAATGTTTCGGATAATGGCTTTCTGGGATACAAGGCTCAGTTAAGGCAATATCCCAGAATTGTCCATGGACTCATGTCTTTGGAGAACAAGTCTTACTGAAGTTTGACTTCAGCTGAAAGACCAGTGTTCTTTAAAAAGACGAGTTTCGTCAGCAATCTGAAACCCAGTTACCCGAAGGCGAAGGTTTCAGACGAGGCTAAATAAAAAATTTCCAACAGTTGCTGTTATCCTTGATTTTCTGTCTATCATTGAAAAATGGATATCCGAAACACAGGGCCAACTGAAGGCAATGTTTCGGATAATGCCTTTCTGGGATACAAGGCTCAGTTAAGGCAATATCCCAGAATTGTCCATGGACTCATGTCTTTGGAGAACAAGTCTTACTAAAGTTTGACTTCAGCTGAAAGACCAGTGTTCTTTAAAAAGACGAGTTTTTTCAGCAATCTGAAACCCAGTTACCCGAAGGCGAAGGTTTCAGACGAGGCTGAATAAAAAACCCTTAAAGAGTAGATAGAACCAAGAAAACTTTGAAAGGATAAAAAGTTGCAAACATTTATATAAATGGTGTCTCCAAGGCCTTTCATTAGTTCAAAATGTACTTACAAAGATTGTCCTGCCCCGAAGGGTTTACACATGATATTTTTTCAGTACATCAGCGTTCCAGTGATTTTTCAACTCAGTTCCATCCAACTGCCAAAGTCGGTATGTCCCTGGCTGAAGCTCATCACAGATTTGATAAGGTCCTTCCCATGCCGCTGAGAGTTTCCCATGGATTCAGCCTTTCTGAACTGCAGCAGCATTTCGGAGGACAAGGTCTCCAATTTTAAGAGGCCTTGCATGGACCCTTCGGTTATAAAATTTGTTGATTCTCTGCTTATAAGCGGCCATTCTGTCTCGGGCTGAGTCTCTTACTTCGTCGAGGAAATCGAGAGATTCCCTCATCAGTCGCTCATTCTCAGCCGAGAAGTGGTGCACTCGTAGGCTCTCAGAGCCAATTTCCACTGGAAGAACGGCTTCGGCACCATACACCAATTCAAAAGGTGAATAGCCCGTTGCCTCTTTTTCAGTTGTCCGAAGGGACCAAAGGGTTCCTGGGAGCTCCTCCAGCCACTTGGACTTTTGATCTTCCACCCTCTTCTTGAGGGCATTTAGGATCTGTTTATTTGCAGCTTCGGCTTGTCCGTTACTTTGCGGGTGGCATACCGCTGAATATGCCAGTTTGATGCCGAACTGATCTGTATACCGCTTCAATGGTAAGTTATCAAATTGCCTCCCATGATCGAAGACAAATACTCTCGGGATGCCAAAACGAGTAATGATACTCTGCCAGATAAATTTTCTGACAGTTTGCTCTGTAATGTTCGAAGCTGCTTCGGCCTCGATCCATTTACTGAAGTAGTCAACACCAACTATCAGCCATTTTTTCTGGTACACAGCCTCTGGAAATGGTCCTAGTATATCCAGTCCCTATTGGGCAAACGGGAGTGGATTAAGGATCGGCTGAAGATCCTTGCTGGCTGGTGGATAACTGGAGCGTATTTTTGACATTTTTCGCATTTCCGGACCAGCTCCTTAGCATCTGCGATCATGGTGGGCCAGTAATATCCAGCCCTCAATGCCTTGTGGGCTAAGGTCCTTCCCCCAATGTGGTTCCCACAGATGCCGAGGTGAATCTCCCGTAGGATATAATCTGCATCTGTTGGTCCCACGCATTTCAGCAATGGGGCTGAGAAGGACTTTTTCAGAAGTTCCCCCCTGAAGACAATGAACCTTGAGCTGGTTCTCTTCATCTTGGAGGCCAAAGCTTTATCTTCGGGAGTTTCTCCCCGAAGCTTGAAAGCTAGGATGGGGTCCATCCAACTAGGCTCTGGGTCAGCGCAGCACACTTCAGGTGCTTCGTCGACACTTCTCTCTCGACGCATTTCTACATATACAGATCTGTTCAGCTCGGTAAGAGATGAACTGGCAAGTTTGGAGAGTGCATCGGCTTGAGTATTCTGACCCCTTGGGATCAGCTGAACCTCAAAAGTTTTCAGCTCTGCAATGACTGGCTTGGTCTTGGCAAGATAAGCTATCATGGAGGGCTCTTTGGCCTCGTAGCTGCCGCTAATCTGATTTGCAACTAGCTGAGAGTCTGTTTTCAGGCAGACATGATCGGCTTCCAGGGAGATGCACAATTCTAGGCCGGCGATTGCTGCCTCATATTCGGCTTCGTTGTTCGAGGCCTTAAAAGAAAATTTTAGTGCATACTCAAAGGATTTGCCTTCGGGAGAAGTTATCACTACTCCTGCCCCCGAACCGTTTTCGGTGGAAGATCCATCCGTAAACACGGTCCTGACTT